TATATATATATATATATATATATATATATGTGTGTGTGTGTGTTTTACCCCTATTTTTTACCCTCTGGTATTCTCCACCCTCCTCCCACACTATCTCAGGTGCCTACAGTTGTTTCCCATTCCCATTTTTCTCCACATTTTATCATTTCACAAAAAAAATTTTTTTGAGAGGTTTTTGCTATAGGGCACATGCACTCACCAGGACGACAGAGACAGACAGACAAAAAGCGAGAAATCACCCCCGGGGTGGAGGATGGTCAGGCTGCAATTCCTTCTCCTCCTTTCTCTTCTCGGGATCTTGGGCACGCATGCACATGTGCCTGGCATGAGTTTAAGCCACCGGGTCCAGGGCTCAAACCATGGTCGACTACATGGGAGTCCAGCAACATAGCCCTTACACTAACTACTGGTCCCAATTCACAAAATTTCTTAAATAATCTAACTACTTTCAATAGCAAGTTCAGCTGGTATATACATATCTGTGAACACATGTCTGACTTTAGGTGTGAAACTCTGAGTAGAAGAATGAATATACTATAAAATAGCACCTAGCTGATAGTATATAGATCACTATGGTCATTAAATAGGTATTTTTTTAATATATTTTTTAATTTCAAGAGAAGCAGTTTTAGCTTTAATAAATCAAAGAAATGCTAAGGAACTTTGCTTAAAACTTAAAGCCAGGAAACAGTTTAGGATTCTGTTCGAATAGTAAGTATCTGAACCTATCAGCAGCTCAAGACAGGACAGAAAGCCTTAAAACCAGAAAACAAAGCCTAGAAGAAAATCAGCAATGTTTTAGTCAAGAGTCATAAAATGCTATCTCACCAGTTCAGTCTCATGTACTTAATCTATCTTCTGTTGTGGCTGAATCTTCCTGATTAAATTCTGGGATATAATATTCAACTCCAGACTTGACCCTACAATTACATTGGTCCTTTTCTTCATTTTTGAATTCTTATTTCTGTGTGTTTGCATTTAATTTTCCATAGCACTCCCATGAGAACTACTTGGAGATGTGGTCTGGTGTTGGTAAATTCTTTCAGGTTTTGTTTATCTAAAAATGTTCTTGTCTTCTCTTCCCATATGAAGGATAATCTTGCTGGGTATAGTATTCTTGGTTGAAATTGCTTTTCCTTTAACGCTTTGAATATATTTTCCCATTCTTTCCTCACTTGCATTGTTTCCGATGCTGTTAGCCTGATGGGATATCCTTTGTAGGTAACTTGCCGTTTCTCTCTTGCCAGTCTTTGTATCTTGTCTTTGTCTGTGGTTTTGGTCAATCTGGCTATAATGTGTCTTGGAGAAGATCTTCTTGGGTTGATTCTATTTGGGGTCTTTTCTATTTCTTCGGACTGGATCTTTGAGTGCCTCTCTAGGTTTGAAAAGTTTTCTTGCAGGATTTCATGGAATAGATTTTCAATGCCCTTATCAGTCTCTTCACCTTCTGGAATACCAATTATCCAGATGTTTGGACATTTGATGGTATCTAGTTTTAATATTTAACATGGTAAATATTGGTTCATGTAACACCTATGAGAAAGAGCATGCTGGGATCCTCAGTAATTTGTGTGTGTGTGTAAAGCAGTTCTGAGTCCCAAGAATGTGAGCTTCACTAATGCAGAAAAGAGAACTCATTTATTTCTTATAGTCTATTAATGTTACAGACTAAATATCCTTTACCCAAATATCTAGCACTGTATTCTATTTGCCAGATTGTATGTGCATTCACCAGAGAAAGAGAGAGAGAGAGAGGGAGAGATAGAGAAAGCACCCCCCAGTAGGGCATGTTCACACCACAATCTTTTCTCCCCCATTTCTCCATCCTGTTGGGATTTGGGGCACACACGCACATGTGCCCAGCATGTTGTAAGTCACCAAGGCTGGGATTCAAACCTCAGTCAACCATGTGGGATCCAGCTCACCTACCTTCAAAGAAGAATTGTAAAGCTTGGTATTTCACTATGTATTGTTCCAAAGTGACTACAGCTCTTTGCAAATAAGTTTGTATATAATTACCCTCATCTAAAACTATGCCAGGAAGAAAATATAACTCCAAAGAGAACCACCACACACAGCAGAGAGCAAAATCTGAGCTGAGTTTTGGGTGTTGCCTTCGGATTACACAAGACTTCAAAGTCGAAATTAACTTTTCAAAATTGGCCTCTGCTGAGCTCCAGCTTCGTAATGAACATTCCACTGTGTCTAGGGAAGACCTGCAGCTTTTTCACTGATGAGGTGAGATGGAAAAGAACGAATAAAATTTTTCCAAAGTTCTGAAAACATTGCACTCGTAGAAACATTTCCAAAAGAATAAATTCCACAAGGTTAACAGAATGACTTCCAGGAAACAGAAATAAAATCTGGGATTAATTTCACTGATTTCTGTGATTTTCACGAACTCCACACTGATTATTGGTCTTATATGCAGCTTTTATCCTGGACTGTGGCAGAAGTTTTTAAAATGATGATTCAGATGAGTAAGTATCTTCCGAGCTCACCAGCAGTCTTCCCAGAAATGCAAGAACAACATCTGCATTTCAGCTATACCACCTGCTATGGATCTATATGACCAAGTCACACGTTTTTTTAAAAAGAATTATTTTACTTCATTTTATTCATCATTATTGTTTTTTTAATCAGACCAAAGAAAGGGAAAGTGAGAAAGCAAGCCACCGGGAACAGGACTCCAACTGTGGTCAGCTACGTGGGAGTCCAGTGCCCTAACCACCATGCCACTTGCCAGCCCAAGTCACACCTTTGCTCTCCATATGGCTGCTTGCCTTCTTCTTTCTCTCTCTTGAATGAGACAGAGAGAAAGGGAGAGATTCCTTGACAAGGTCTTTATGCCACAATTCACCCAGCCCAACCTTCCCCCAGCCAGGACCACAGGCATGCACAGCTGCACCTGGGGCGTTCAGGTCAACCCACATGCTCCACTTGAAACCCACTTCCTCTTCCACTCCTGTTCTGTGGTAGGTAAACTAAAACATCGCACAGAACAAGTCAAAGAATTAGCAAACATGCCCTTAGCTCTTCGAGTTCAACGATCTTACTCCTTTATCCTTTGTTCTTTTAATCACTTCACAGCTCTCTTCTGAACCTTCTAAGGAGCAAAATACAAACCTGATTAAAATGTTTTAACAAGGTTTTAACAGGATAAATGAAGGCTGGCACTTTGGCCTGCTGGGTAAGGAGGTTGGACCCCACATGGCCAACCAGTGGCTTGAAATCCATTCCAGGTTCATGTGCGTGCATGCCCAAAATTTTGACAGGATAGAGAAATGGACGAGGAGGAATTGCAGCATGACCACACCCTACTGAGGGTGCTTTCTCCCTCTCCCTTTCTCTCTGTCTCTCTCTGTCTCTCTCTCTCTCTCTCATGAGTACAAATACTCCTGGTAATGGGGGGAAAAATGAAAGCTAAATGAAATCATACCCTAAGACCTCTACACACTACAGAATTTTGTTCTTACTCATTTTGGAACTCACTGCAGCATTAGGTCAGTTGCAATGGTGTGGGCAGTGGGTGCTGCTCTGCAACTGGTGTGGTAATGAAAACCCACAGTTTAAATCCTGCGTCGGCCTGAACCATGCTGGGGTGTCCACATGTGCCTGAGACCCTGACTGGTTGGACAGCTGGGAGGGGAGGGATCACAGCATGAGGAAATCCTGCGGAGGGTGCCTGCCTCTCTTCCTCTCTCTGTCTTTTCCTTTCTCTCTCTCTCTCTCTCTCTCTCTCCCTCTCTCTCTTACACACACACACACACACACACACACAAAAGATTAAAAATAATAATAAGAAGAAGAAGACCAGTCAGTGGCGCAACAACATCACAGCACTCTGTGATGCTGGATCCACATAGGAAGGTCCAGGGTTCAGGTCCCAAGGCCTCCTATGTATCTGCATCATAAGCTGGGCCCAACAAGGCTGGATGGGAGTGACATGAAGACTCTGGTGGGGATGCCTTCCCCACTTCCTTTCTCTGTCTTGTTTTCTCATGGAAGAAAGAAATACAGAAACTTCTAAAAAGTCCTAAGGAGGGACCAGCAGATGGCATAATAGTACGTCGCTGTACTCCCATGTAGTCGACCACGGTTCAAGTTCCAGACCCAGTGGCTTAAACTACGCCAGGCGCATGTGCGTGCATGCCCAAGATCCCAAGAGCAGAATGGAGGAGAAGGGATTGCGGCATGGTCATTCCCCCAGGGGATGATTTCTCGCTTTCTGTCTCTCTCTTTCTGGTGAGCGCATGCACCCTATAGCAAAAACCTCTCCAAAAAATAAAAATAAAAAAAGAGAAAGAAAAAGTCATAAGGAATTTAATCAAAAAACTGTATCATGAAATTCACAAATCTAGAGGGGCTAGCAGGTGGCATGGTGGTTAAGGCACTGGACTCCCACATGGTTGGAGCCCGGACCTGGTGGGTTGAAAGATGCCAGGCATGGGTGCATGCATGCCCAAAATCCCAAGAAGAGAAGGCATTGCAATGGTCATCCCACTCCGGGGGGTGTGATTTCTCACTTTCCCTCCTCTTCTCTCTCTGTCTCTCCCCAGTGAGTGCATGTGTCATGTGTCCTATGGCAAAAATAAATAAGTAAATAAATCACAAATCTAGAAGCAAATAAGGTATTGGATTGTTGAAAAAGTCGTGAGGCATTTTTGCATAGAATAGAAAGAGAGCAAAGTACATCATGATTTTCCCAACGACCCAACAGAAGGATACCACAGAGCCCTAGTGTCTACCCAAGCCTGACCCAAACTGCAAAGCACCGCTCCAACATGGATGGTTTCGTTAGCGTGTGTGCAAGCACTGTGGGCAGAAGGCCCAGAAAACGGTTTTCAGCCATGCCTCATGTCTCCAGCCCCTTGTAAAACGCCACTTCCCAGCCAGCCAAGCAAGTCAGAGTCAGAAATTCATACTCTTTCAGAGTAAAGGGATTTTGACCCTCAACTTAGAAATTCAGTCTTCAACCTCAGCGGACCCCCGAGGCTGTCTAACAGTCCTAACGCGATGCCTAAGCCCTTTCTCGCCCGTTTTCTAGAACAACTGTCTCAGGTCTTCACTTACCTCAAATTTCCAACTTGCCCCTGATTCCCAAGGGCAAATAAATTATCTGGCCAGACTTTCTAAACTTGTTCCTATTAAAACTCCACTGAGAGAAGAGTGTTCAAGTCCCACAGAAAGAAAACATGGTCTCAGAGGCCATGAAATTTGCCTCCCTCCTCAAGCTGCCCCTTTCTCCTGCATTCGTTGCTTTACTTTTTACCCGCATTTCTTTATTTTTTCCCCTCATCACAGCCCCTCATCGCGAGCGAACCCACCCGCCATACGTGAGGTGCATGCATCTCCCTGCCCTATCAGAGACCTCACCCTCCCAGCTGCCTCCGTCCTTTCGAATCCTTTCCAGTCTTTCCCTCTGGGCAGACCCCCTTCCCATCAGGATCTTGCTGTTGTTACCTTTCACTGTCATAATGCTGTCCTTTTCTATGCTGAAACCATTCACACTTACAGAAAGCCGCAACAGCACTGCGAAGAACTCCTGGATGCCCTTCATGCAGAGACCCCATCCGAGTTTTGATAATCGCCCAGATAGCATCGTTTCTAACAAAAGGCCACATCCGACACCCAGTTATCATGTCTCCACCGTCTCCTTCAATGTTGAAGAGTTCTACAGTCTTGCCTGGATATATTTTCGAGATGACAGTAGACTGAATACGTGTGAAGATTTTAGCAAAATGGAAACGGTGGGATTATAAGAGATTTCTTTTTTTCCTACAAAGATCTACATTGCTATTTTAACAAGAAATATCATTTTTTAATTTAAAAAAATCTTAAAATATTTACTCACCTTAGCTGACTTTTCAATCCTTACGCCTCCACTCAGTTCAAAAAGGACAGTCATGTTGTACCCAGTCTGGTTTCCATGACCATGAGGCCACCAAGTTTCCACAGTAATGTTCTGTTAAGAAGTAAGATGAGTCAGTTTAAGTAATACGGCTTCTTTTCAGCAAATAATATGACTCAGAGCATTATATCAACTTCTCATATAGTCAAGCATAGGAACTCTAGGTTCTGAAACTATAAATATCCACCTATATTATACCAAATCATAACAATCCATTGATATTTTAAAATCAATATTCTAGGAGTTTAGCATGAATTAATGTACAAACAGGCCCACCTGGGCCAGCAGGTGGCTTAATGGCTAAAGCACTGGACTCCCACATGACCAGCTACGATTGGAATCCTGGACCTGGTGGCTTGCTTTCTCACTCCCCCCACCCCCCAACCTTCTCTGTCTCTCTCTGGTGAGCGCATGTACCCTGTAGCAAATGAAAACATAATAAAAAATGATAAATAAATAAGTCTTCAGGAAAAAGGAAAGAAAACCAGCTCTTCCTCTGACACTGGCATTTACACTTACTCTGTGTACTTAACACTTGAGATTGGACTTTGAAGTTGACTCTTTTTCTAAGCCAGGAACTAGAAATCATTTTGAGATATTCATCTGAACAGTTACTGAATGTTCTTGCACTTTCCTTTTCACGTCACAATTATCAATCAGAGGAATAGAAAAAGGAGTCAGGGAAGGTAAAATCTACCCTACCTTTTATGAAAGATCCTGAGTTTGGAATTAGAATTCTACATGTAAAATAAGCACCAATATTCAAAACAAATGAGAGGTGATGCCGGCAGGTGGTGTGGTGGTTAAGGTGCTGGGCTTTCATGTGGCTGACCACAGTTCAAGTCTCGGACCCGGTGGCTTGCTTTCTCATTTTCCCCTTCTCTCACTCACTCTCTCTCTGTCTCTTTGGTCAAATTAAAAAATAAATAATAATAACAAATAAAATTAAATAAAGAATTTTTTTTTTAATTAGAGGTACCAAAAGTAATCACTGCTATTTATGTCTCGAGTATATTTTCGATTTAGGGCATTGCAAATATTGCACAAAAAAAATAAAATATAACTCAGCTCTTAAGAAGAATATTTGCAAAATTAATCACATATTCTCAATTTTCTTTACTGCAAAATTTGGGGAAAGTATTCCTTAGCCTGTATTCACACAAAATATATGAAAGGTTAAAAATAAAAGAGAAGGGACCAGCAGGTGGCATGGTGGTTAAGGTGCTGGACACTCCCATATGGCCAACCACGGTTTGAGTCCCAGACCTGGTGGCTTGCTTTCTCACTCTCTCTCTTTCTCTGTCTTGCTCTGGTCAAATTGAAATAAAATAAATTAATGAATAAATAAAATTAAATAAATAATTCTTTAAAAATAAATAAATAAATGAGAAAATGTGGGACCAGCATATGGTGTAATGGTTATGGTGCTGGACTCCCACATAGTCATTCATGGTTCAAGTCCCAGACCTGGTAGCTTAAACCTCGTGCCAGGCGCATGTGCATGCATGCCCAAGATCCCAAGAGGAGAAGGGAGAAGGGATTGTGGTGTGGCCATCCCTCCAGGAGGCGATTTCTCATTTTCTGTCTCTCTGGCTCTCTCTGTGTCTCCAGCAAGTACATATGCCTTATAGCAAAAATCTCTCTTGGAAACAAATAAATAAATAAAAATAAAGGAGAAAATTTTTTTTAAAAATTAAAAAATGAAGAAAGGTTTTTTGCTTTCTTATCAGTCCCTTTTTTCTACCATCTCTTTTCAACACGTATTGCTTTTCATCTGGTGCTTCTCAGGAAGTCATTTACCTTGTTAATTTTCACAAGTAGCTCAACAATCCTTTCCCCAGGTTGAAGTCCAACGCTGTATGTGTGCTGCGTTTGCAATTTAGGAATAGCTACTATTACGTGACCACCAACTGGCTTTGAGCTGACAACATCAAAAGAAGTCTTTATTTCAATATTCCACTCTTGGGCACCATTATCTAAAACATAACAAGAAAAAGAATAGATAGATAGATAGATAGATAATATATATATATATATATATTATATATATATAATCGGTTGGTTCCTTCTATACAAAAGATTGGCAAGCTGTTTATTAGAAATAAAGGTGTTTTTCTTTTTTTTTTTAGAATTATTTTATTGGGGCTGGCAGTGGCATGGTGGTTAGTTAGGGCACTGGACTTCCACATGGCTGACCATGGTTTGAGTCCTGGACCTGGCAGCTTGCTTTCTCTCTCTCTCTCTCTCTCCCTGGTCAAACTGAATGATAATAATAATAAAGAAAAGAAAATAATTCTTTTTATTTATTATTGTTATTTTCAAATTTGGCCAGAGAAAGAGGGTGGGGCAGAGTGAGAAAGCAAGCCACCAGGTCTGGGACTGGAACCGTGGTATGCCATGTGGGAGTACAACACCTTAACCACCACACCACTTGCCAGCCCCATAAATAAAATTTGATTGGAACACAGCTGCTGTGTCTTCAATGCACATACAAAAATTCATAGGTTGAAGCTCCTGTAAAGGGAGGTCATTAAGGTTAAGTGAAGTCATAAGAGTGGGCTGATAAGCCAAGAGGACTGGCCTTGTAAGAAGAAAAAGTGCCGACTCCGTAGCCTACTTGTTAAGGGAGTCAGATCCTACACGGTCAGTCACGGCTCATATCTGGGTCTGGAGACTAAAGCCATGCCAGTCTCATGTGTTTGCACGCACAAAGTCCTAACAGGATGGAGAAGGGGTTGCAGCACAGCCACGCTCTACCAGGGAGTGCTCTCCTTTCATGAGGTGCCCAAGTCTCCCTCTCTGTCTCTCTCTCTCTGGTGAGCACACATGCCCTCTGGCAATGAAAAGAAAAAAGAAAAGAGAAGAAGAGGAGGAGGACAAGGAGGAAGAGACAAATTTCTCTCTCTCTCTCCCCCCTGTGAGGACACAGCCAAAAAGCAGCTGTCTGCCAGCCAGGAAGAGAACCCTCATCAGAAACCAAATCAACCAGCACTTGATCTTGGACTTCCCAGCCTCCAGAACTGTGAGAAATACATTTCTGTCATTTAAACCACCCTGTCTGTGGCACTTTGTTAGAACGGCCCGAGGGGACTGATGGACCCGCCACACTCCATCTACCAAGGGCTGTGCTGGCCTTGCACCGTAACACAGAGCTCCCACGAGGTGCCCGAGTCTATACTACGTACTGCCCACCTTTTTACAGAAAGTGTTTGCTGACGCCTGTTCTAGAATACTTCCCCCAAACGTCCAGTCCAGGGGTCAGCAGGTAGCATGGTGGTGAAGACTAGACTCCCACATGCTTGACTAAGTTCCAAGTCCCGGACTTGGCAGCCTGACAGTCACACTGGGCGCACACGTGCTCATCCCCAAATCCCAAGAAGAAAGGAAAAGGAATTGTGGCATGGCCATCCTCCCTGGAGGGTGATTTCTCACCTTCCCTCTCTTTGTTTTTCTCTGGCAAGTGTATGAGTACTACGGCAAAAACCTCTGAAAAAAGAAACCTCTGCTTCACAACATAACCATCTCAATTTTGCTAGCCTTGGCTGTTACACAGTCCTTCTTTACATTGATCTGAAATCCACTTCCGAACCTTTCACCTAAACATTTCATTGGGCCTTCGACCACCTTCTGCCAACCAAAGCTCTCTCCTTGCTACTTCCTGTCACTTCCTCCTTGGTCGGAGAAGCAGCTGTTAGTAACAGTCTCCGGCAGAAGACAAGTGGTGCAGTCCCCAAAGTCACTGCAAAATGCCCCAGTTTCTCTTGCTTTGAACATGGAAGTTTCTGGAGCACAACCTGTTAATTCTCTTGGGCACCACAACGTGAAAAACAAGGGCTGTGAATTAAAACCTGTCACGAAGGATGGTGGGCCTATCATGTCACCACCACACGCTGCGCCCACACGTCCGCCCCGCCTCTGGGAGTGGCTCCCTTCCTGTGGTAGCCCATGAAAATGTCAGTGTTTAGGTTCACCAAGGATGACGTCTTAAATAACCAGGAATTTTCCTGATAATGCTTGATCACTTCTCACTAATTTAAGAATCTATGGTTTCTAGTTAAGGAGAGTTCCACCTTGTAAATTAAGGCTTACTTCTAGAATATAGCTTCCTGTCCTATTTCTCCTAACATTACTATTTTCTTAAAAAATATACCTGTCATTTTTGCTATAGGGTTCATGTGATCACTAGAGAGACAGAGAGACAGAGAGAGAGAGAGAAATCAACCCCCAGGGAGGATGGCCATGCTGCAATCCCTTCTCTTCTGTTCTCCTCTCGGGATTTTGGACATGCACACACATACCCCCAGCGTGATCGTCAGGCTGCCATTCTCAGGCGGTATGGTCATCCCCCTAGGAGGTGACTTCTCTCTTTCTGTCTCTCTGTCTCTCTTTCTGGCAAGCACACATGCCCTATAGCAAATACCTCTCAAAAAAAAAAAAAAGAATACAGGACATGGGAGGAGTCAGACGGCAGGGCAGGGGATCAGGCTGAAGTGGACCAGCAGTTGGCATAATGGCTACAGCGCTGGACTCCCATGTAGCCAACCACAGTCCCAGTCCCAGACCTGGTGGCTTAAACTCACGCCGGGCACATGTGCATGCGTGCCCACGATCAGAATGAAGGAGGAGAGACTGCAGCATGGCCATTCCCCCAGGGGGTGATTTCTTGCTTTCTGTCTCTCTGTCTCTGTCTTTCTGGAGAGCCCACATACCCTATAGCAAAAACCTCTTCAAAAAAAAAAAAAAAGGAGACTGAAATGCCCAAGCCACGGGAGGTGTAAATTCAAACAGAAGAGGGGCTAGTAGGGACCATGGTGGTTAAGGTGCTGTATTCCCATATGGTTGATCACAGTTCAAGTCCCAGTCGGGATGGCTTGAAAATCACAACAAATAAATATATATTTTTAATTTAAAAAAACTTTTCAAATAGAAGATATTTTCCTGGGCCAGCCCATGGCAGAGTGTTAGCTAAGGCAGCTAGATCCCACATGACTGAGTGTGCAGTTCAAGTTGCAGGCCCAGTGGCCTAGAAAACATGCCAGGCATGTGTGCATGGATCCCCGACATTCCAAAAGGAGGGGGAAATGGAAGAGAAGGGATATTGGTGGGACCATGCCCCACAGGGGTTGCTTTCTCATTTCCCTCTCTCCCTCTCTCTCTCTGGTGAACCCATGTGGCCGACAACAAATTTTAAAAAGGGAAAAAAGATTTTCCTGTATTTCTCCTAGAACTATAGAACAGATGTGAACAGCTGCTTTTCCGAGGCTAACAGCGGCATTAGCCACAGACACAGGCTCGCGTTGGTTACGACAGCTGTTTCCCCTCACTGGTGGCTTGAGCCCGTGCTGGGCACGTGTGCATGTGTGCCCTAAATCCGGAAAGTAGGCGGAGATGGAGAAGGGACTGCAGCATGCCCCACGGGTGGCAATTTCTCACTTCTCTCTCCTCTGTCTGTTTCTCTGGCAAGCACACATGCCTTCTGGGACATTTTTTAACAAGTCCAACCTGGTGAGTAAATCTTCTCACAGACAGCACTTAGCTCAGGAAGCTTTGGCACTACTCTTTAAGTTCCTTTCTTGCTTTTTGCCCCCACAAATCATGCTAAAAAGTACCTACCTACCTGCCTGCTTCATTCACACTGTGCCTTTTTGTGACAAATGAGTTTGTACCTACTGAGTCATCAGGAAAGCCCTGATGCATTTTTGTATAGAAAAATGTCATGAGTCTCTCAATGAGACAGTATTGTTCACTTTCAAAAATTAAATGTGCCACGAAGCTTTAAAAAACTAAGTCTTTGAAAAATACACCTATGGGTCAAATTATAAACCAAATTTTTTAACAAGGAGACTCAAAATGAAAGAAAAAGAAATCACATCTCTTAACTTACCGTAAACTGGGGAAAATGTGAAGTAATTCAGATGACAAATATTATAGGCTTCGATTCGAACATCTTTCCAGATCCCCTGGGTGGGAAAGGAAGGCCCCCAGTCCCAACTAAAGGAACACTGCGCCTGTCATTTCAAGAGGAACAAAGGCATGTTCTGATAACCACGACATTGAAACACGAGCAAACACAAGCCCCTTTAAGTCATCACGTGCACGTATGTCACTTTGCCAGAGCTAGTTACAAAGAATCTTGGGCTGGGTGGCTTCAAGGACAGGAGCGATGCTCCGTTTCAGAGGCCGGAAGTCCCAGACGAAGGTGCCAGGTTCGCCCTCCCCTGAGCCCACTCCTTGGCGCACAGGTGGTCACCCTCTCTGTGTCCTCCGCCTTTTTCCATCCCTGAGCACCCCGTCGCTGTTGGCTAGATTTCCTCCTATGAGGACACCCGCTGCTCTGGATGAAGGTCCACCCTGATAGACAACCTTTTATCAAACACAGCACCTTCCGAGGTACGGGGGCTTAGGACCTCAACACAGGAATTTGGGGGGCACGACTCCACCACACACAGCCTCTACTACGGCCAGCTGTCACTTCTGCTACTCCTCCCTGTGTACGCCCCTCTAGAAGACAGTGGGGTGTCGTCCTGCGTCCTGAAGCAGCCTCGGGATGGAAACCTAGGCAGATCAGCACTCCACAAAAATCCAACTGATCTTTTGGTTCTTATTTCACATTTTCAAATCCCACTAAGGGGTCGGGAAGAGAGCCAATTTATGAAATGCCACTGAAGTTGTCAAACCAGCCTTATCAATGCTAGCACACCCCATCCTCAGAGCCAAAGTCGCAGCCACTCAGGGGTCATTACCTTGCGGACAAAGTTGACGTGGCACTCCCCATTTTGCACTGCGGGCGGGCAGTTCGGGGGCACCTGGTAGCGAGAGTGCGCTCGGCTCTGCCCTGCCGCGTACCGCACTGCGGAGCGGAATCGCAGCTCCAGTGAGTTCGAGTCTCTGACCAGGTCGGTAACATCGAAGCTCTGGATTAAAATGAGAGAACAGACCCACGAAACAGTCTTGTGTGCAAAGTTCTGAAACGGGCAGAATGTGGGGAAGCTGCATAAAGTAATTCAAGTCTTCAGGCTTATCCTCCTTCCAGGAAGGAGCCCTTCTCTGGAACAGGACCCCTGCACTGCCCACAAGAGCATACAACCAAGCTATTCTCCAGCCCCAGTGCAACAGCTCGCATCTGCCTTCTGCTTTTACTGACAGGATGATGGCCCCAGGGAAGCAGAACTGAGAAGATCTTTAGCGTCGGAATGTCTGCTCCGGGGCTCTCTCCCCGTGGCCTTGGACACTGAGGGTTTCCTAGACGCCTCTGGACAATCCGACTCTCCGGCATGAGTGGCATGCATTTCCAAGTCATAAGTTATTTTTGTTTCTGAAAAGCCTACCGTTGAAAGAAAAGGGCCATCCGGACATGATCTCTTACTGTAATTTTTCCAGAGAGAAAATCATTCTTTTAAAGTCATTTGTTAACATTTTCCATGGAACTCTGGATCACTAAACAACACACAGGGGAATAGCATTTGGTGACCACTTCCATGTGCCCAGGGCTTGCCAACGACTTTACATAATCAGCTAATTAAATCCCCACATAACCCCGGGGGGTAGTGCTTCCATTATTCTACCAATGTGGCGACTGAGAATTACAGGGGCTTACCCAGTGCTTCACAGAGCCTGGCGATGTCAAATAGCCAACTCTCATTTACCTTTCTCACTCGTAAAAACAACTGCCACAGGCACGCACGCACTGCTCTTAACTGACGAGTATACGCACTCATGTACTCACATAGCTGCGGAACATGTTGTCTGTTTTCCCAATAATGACATTGTTGAGTAGGACTTCTGTAACTGTGTCGACTCCCTCAAAAACCAGATTTACTTTTTGCCATTTACTAACAAAAGAAAAGAATTTAAAAACAAGATACATAAAACATTAACCTAGACTAAGTATATTTTTTTACTTGATAAGAACTAAAGGAATAATTATGTCACAGAAAATAAGCATCCTTAACAGGCAGCCTGCAGTGACATATGTAGAAGTATGCATGTAATACATGTCTATGTCCTTCGAGTGGCCCTGTTTATCTTTTTCCATAATAAAGCAAGGACCATAAAATTAAGAGCACAATCTATAATTTCCAAATCCACGGATTTTCTTTTCCAGTTATTCACAAAGTTTTTAGGGGAACTAAGTTAGATAACAGATATAAAAATCCTCACAAATGATATACTTATTGACACTATCTAAGAAACACATTAACCAACTAACATATCCACTCGTAGATACTACGATCAATGACATTAGATACACAGACAATAGTATCTTTGAGCATATACGAATTATGTGGCCAGCTCTGCTAAGCCTTATGGGAAACTAACCATCTGAATTCCAGGCATCTGCAATCTGGTTGGCATTGAAGCCCAAATGACAGAACACAGAAACTTGTGGTCTAAGTGGTATGGGAGCACTTGTCAGACAACTGCAGGTGCTATCGGAGTTTATCTCAGAACAAAAACATCAAGAATGCAGCGAGAACTCAGAGAATAAATCAGATGCAGTATTATCCATACATAAAATACCATTCAGCGGTAAAAAGAGGGACGGCGTACTGATGCAAGCTTCGGCGTAGATGAGCTTTGAAAACTGCTATGCCAAGGGGAAGACGCCAGGCACGAAGGCCCACACTCTAGATGATTAGAACTCTGTGTGGTTTCTGGAGCCAGCAGATCTGGACAGTCAATGAGTGGTGAGAGTGGTGCCTCGGGTCCAGGCAGGACCTACTAACGGGTCTGGCTTTCTCTTGGGGTGAGAAAAGCATTTGATGAATGACCACAGGGATGGCGGCACAACTCCGTGAGCATACTAGACGCCCCTGAATTTCAGATTGTAGTGACTTTAGTGTGTGGTATGCAAATTATAGCTTGGTAACTGTGTTATTTAAAAACAAAATAGGCAGAGGGGCTGGCAGGTGGCGTGCTGGTTAGGATGCCGGACTCCCATGTGGCTGACCAAGGGCCAAGTCCTGAACATGGCAGCTTGCTTTCTCACTTTCTCTCTCTCTCTCTCTCTGATGCATGTGCATGCCCTATAGCAAATTTTAAAAAAATAATAATAAGGACCAGCAGGTGGTGCGGTGGTTATGTCTTTGGACTCTAAGATGGCTGACCACGGTTTGAATCCTGGACCTGGCAGCTTGAAAATCCTGCTGGACGCACATGCATATGTGCCCAAAATCCCGAGAGGAGAATGGAGGAAAAGGGTGGTGTGGCCATCCCCCCAGGGGGTGATTTCTCACTTTCCCTCTTACTGTCTCGCTCTAGTGAGTGTATGCGCCCACTGGCAAAAACCTTTAAAAAATAATAATACCGACAGTTTTCTGACTGACAATCAGAAGCACTATCCTTTTATACAAAAGTCGTATGTCACTTCTCATAGTCCACAGCTTTAATCTGACTTAACTTTCTGATATGCAAAACAAGCTGAACAAAAGCTTATTAGACAGAAAAAGAAGCGAAGCTCAGATAATAGATACACACAAACACATACCTAATATCAAAGGGGATTTTAAACTCCTTGCGATAGATCCAGTTATCCAAGGAGATCCATCTGTAGTTAACATCATTAAATCCATAGTAAGGGTCCTGTTGGTACAAGGTAAACAACCATGGCAGATGGTTAAATATGCAAAAATAGAGCAAAATATGAAATAAACTATTAACAACGGCTATTTGTCACCTAAAATCAATGAACTTTGGCCTAGGAGGACATAGAAGTCAGATCATTAACACTGAAAAATGTGGGGGAGGGACCAGCAGTTAGTGTAATGGCTATGTTGCTGGACTCTCATGTAGTTGACCACGGTTCAAGTCCAGGACCCGGTGGCTTACACTCACACCAGGTGTGTGTGCATGCATGCGCAAGATCTCGAGAGGAGAATGGAGGAGAAGGGACTGCAGTGTGGCCATCCCCCCGGGGGGTGATTTCTCGCTTTCTGTCTCTCTGTCTCTCTATCTTTCTGGTGAACTGCGGCACGCGCCCTATAGCAAAAACCTCTCCAAAAAAAGAGAAAAAATTGTGAGGGAACATTCCAACACTTTCCTGCAGTGAGTGCACCCTGAGATACAAGTATATAGTTTCTTTTCTTTTTTTAGAAAGATTTTTTGCTATCAGGCACATGTGCTCGCTGGAGAGAGAGACAGAAAATGAGAAATCATCCCCTGGGGGGATGGCCACACCGCAATCCCTTCCCTTCCATTCTCCTCTTGGGATTTTGGGCATGCATGCACACGCACCTGGCATGAGTTTTAAGCCGCTGGGTCCAGGACTCAAACCATGGTCGACTATGTGAGAGTCAAGCAACGTAACCATTACGCCATCTGCTGGTCCCAAAATATGTAGTTTCAATATCAAAGAACGTGTGTGGAGATTAAAACTGGCTCTCCTTGTTAAACCCATCACGGACCTGCAAGGCGTGGGCAGGCGTGAAGCAAGTCTCATTGCCCGGCAGGTCTCTGCTGACTGCTGCCACTGTCCCAGCCGGCCTGCAGCGAGACACGGCTCTCCACTGCCCAAAGGCCTGCAAAGCTCCCATCCTTTGCGTTCATTTGGCATTGCCAGAGTTATCTGCCACTGAGCTTTACCAAGTGAGCACAGAAAGAATCTCTACCGAGAACACACAGGCAGCACACTTACAGGCTTCGGGCTTCCTGTGCAGCCAAGATCAGGCCAGCAAACTGCGCCTTCAAGCTGACTGCGCCCCCCCCCAGCTGCGCCCCCGGGGCTGACTGCACCCCCGGGCTGACTGCGCCAACAGGCTGACTGCACCCCCAGGCTGACTGCACTCCCGGGCTGACTATAGCTCACTCCTGTTCCTGTGTGGCCAGCGAGCTAAACAGGCAGACAGGTGCCCATACATAAAGTTCTAATGAAGCACTGCCACAAAGTCCAAAACACAAGGGGACGTCTAAAGGCTCGTGAAAAAACTGGAATCAGGGTCAGGTAGGTGGCATAGTGGTTAAAGCGACTGGAACCCACATGGGCAATTCTGCGATCCGAGTCCCGGACCTGGTGACTTGAAAAACATGCCAGGTACATGTGCGTGCATGCCCAAAATCCAGAGGAGAAGGGACTGTGGCGTGGCATACCCTCCCTCCCCGAGGTGCTCGCTCTCGCTCTCTCTCGTGCGTACGTGCCATATAGCAAATTCAAAAGAAAAATCATTTAAAAACCAAAAATTAAGTACAGATTTATTTTGGAAAAAAATGATTTTGAAATCCTGGCATAGTTTTTCCATAATACACATTTCCCACAACTTTTTTTTTCTTTGAGAGATGTTTGTTGGCTATACCACATGTGCTCACCAGAGACAGAAAGTGGGAAATCTCCCCGGGGGTGTGGGGGATCGCAGGGTCGCAATCCCTTCTCCATTCTCTTCTCAGGATCCTGGGTGCACATGCTCCCAGCATGAGTTCTAAGCTGCCGAGTCTAGGACTCGAACATCAGCTGGCCGCATCGGAGTCCAGCAACATGACCATGATGCCAATCTCCAGATCCACTCCCACAGCCTTTCTGAGGACCTCTCATGTTTAGCGTCTAGCTCATCACTGAAACGTGTGCTGGCCCTGCCCTAGACAACGGGCCTCCAAGGTGTTCACCGAAGCGCCAAGACTCCCCGTCTGTAACCCTCCCCACGTCCCCGCTTTCTCTCAGGAGGCCGGCTCCCAGACAGGAAGCAGGACAGAGTCGTAGATGAGGCTCTGCGGTTCCTCTGTGAACAGCACCATGGCCACACGGGGGTCGGAAGTGCAGGAACAAAGGGCTTCCTCTCCTGTCGTGCCAGGGTCGGGCCCAGGGCTTACTTCCTTTGGGACTGGCACTCCAGACGGAGAAGCGAAGCCAGCTTTGCATCCCACAGCGGCAGGAGCTGCCTGACCACGTGCAGCCTGGCAGCAACCAGCGGGGCAGCTGCCCAGGGCACTGGGCTGTAAGCCACGCCATCGCCCTGCCTCCAGGCGTCAAGGTCCAGGTCGTATCTGTCCAAAACCGTCCTGATTGGAGAAGTGTCTCAGTAAGTGACCAAGAGAGGGAGTGGTCGCTGAGACTGAAGACCACAGACAACCTCCAGGCTGGCCAAGGAAGGTGTGCACTGCTAACTGGGTGCACCGGGCTCAGCCAGCCGGCATCCTTCTCTGCACCTGCCCCAGGGGGACTCGGACTCACCAAGAAGCAATGCGAAACTGAAACTTAAGGACCGGGTTTGAAGGGGCACCTCTTACTGGCCTGGCCACGCTCCCCACCCACCTATTTATAACTGCACGGTGGCCCTCCTCCAGGGCGGTTAAAAATCCCATGAGACAGAAGGTGGGAGCGACTGAGCACAGACGGGGACATGCCAAGGCCAGGTGGCTGAGGACCTCTGGGCAGGGCCTGCGCTCCCCACCTCCCTGCTCCTTGGAAGAGTGGCACACAAAGGAGAGAGGGCAGTCTTCCAGATGTAAATAGCTTTTTTATACACAAATCAAATTTACAAGTTGAAGTTCTTCCATTCGAAAGAAGCCAAAGAGGAGCGGAGCCATGCTGAGTGATTCGAGCTCCGTGGCATTCTGGGTGTTCAACCCAGACCACTGCACACCTGGGTGGTGTACAGGGTGCCTGCCGGGCCCCGGCGGCCAGCCCACAACGAAATGAAGTCTCTTGTGCCAAGTCCCAGTTTGTCAATGGAGGCTTTGCAGAAGCAGGAAGACCCCCAGGCAGACCCGTTTCCCTGAGAACCGGAGACTCCACATCATGAAGAGGGTTCTCTGCTCTAACCCTTCCGGGAAAGGCAACCCGAAGCAGCCGATGCAAGTTAGCTTCCTCTCCACTGGGCTGTTTCTCTCAGTTCTCACCCTCCCAGAGCCACCGTGTGGCCACTGCCCTTGAGAGCTGGAGGCTGTCCAGACTCATGAATTGTAACAATTAGATCTTTAACTGAGTGTGTTGTCATTTTGTCTTTTGACATAGAAAGGACAGACCTAGGGCTAGCTAGCAGCACGGTGGTTACGGGGGCTGGATCCCACATGGCCAGGTGCAGTTCGAGTCCCGGCCCCAGTGGTTTGAGAAGCCTGCTGGGCACATGTGCATGCATGCCCAAAATCCAGGGAGGAGGAGAGATGGAGGACGGTTTGTGGACTGACCATGCCCCACTGGGGTGCTGTTGCACTTTTCTCTTTCTCCCCAGAGAGTGTATGTATCATCTAATCAAAAAAAAAAAATTAACTTAAAAAAAAAGGAGGGCCAATCTATGGCGACAGTACGAGGATGAGTGGTTCCGAGGGGCTGAGGGGCAGGAGCGATGACCAGGTGGAGCACAGAGGATTTCTCAGGGTGAAATGACTCTCGGTGATCTACAACAGTGGACATATTATTATAAATTTGTCCAAATCCACAGAACGTACAACCAACAGTGAGCCCTGTGGCAAAGTGTGGGGCTGGGTACACTGTGCCCACGTCGGCCCGTCAACTGTAACAAATACACCAGCGTGTGGGGTGCTGACGCTGGGAGGTACACGGGAGCTCTGCTTTCAGTCTACTAAAACCTTCTCTCAGCCAGCAGGTGGCACAGAAGTTAAGGCAGCTGGAATCCACATAACCGACTGTGTGGTTCGAGTCTAGGACCCGGCTTGAAACACATGGTGGGCACACATGCATTCATGCCCAAAATCCCGAGAGGAGAATGGAGAAGGGATTGTGGAGTGGCTATCCCTCCAGGAAGTGACTTCTCACTTCCTCTCTCTCTTTCTCCTCCCCCCCCCCCATCTCTTTCTGGCAAGCACATGTGCTCTATAGCAAAAACTATAAATTAAAAGATAAATAATAATGAGACCAGCAGGTGGCATAGTGGTTAAGGCGCTGGACACTCCCACATGGTCAACCACGGTTCAAGTCCTGGACCTGGTGGCTTGCTTTCTCACTTTCCTCTCTCTCTCTCTCTCTCTCTCTCTCTGTCTCTCTCTGGTCAAATTAAAATGAAGGAATGAATGAATAAATAAATAAATCTTTTTTAAAAAGATAAATAATAATAACAAATAAAAACTAAATAAATAAATCTTTTAAAAAATTAACCTAATAAGACAGTAGGTTAACTGGAGAGCAGTAGAAATGACTCGGAGGGAATGCGCAGAAGATGCTGCAGGTGGCACCTCCAACATCCCGTACCCGATAAGAAGGAAGAAGAAAAATGGCACCAAGACTCCAGGCCTGGCTCCCTGGGGCAATACTCACGCTTTCATTAGAAACGAATACGAGAAAAGAAGGACAGGGAGGACCTAGAGAAGAGAGATCGACACAGCGTTTCATACACCACGGCAACAGTCAGCTAAGAATGTGGAGAACGTCCCGCTGGAAATCAGGACAACGATGGCAGTTAGAGACACGCAGTTGAGCAATGTGGGCACGGAAGGGGTGGCTGAAGAGCAGAGACAGAGAAGAGAGAGACGGGATGTGTAGATTGACCCTGGGGAAATGCTTCCACTTACTGAAAACTTTTAGCAAATAGGGTAGGATGCTTTTTGTGGTACATGTCAAAAAATAGAATTTGTCTAAGAAAATAAAAATGTATGCTAACATTTCTTTAAAAGGACCGTCATCAAAAATTAGGAAA